CGTCTTCTCTTCCCCGGCTGCCCAACCCCAGCTCCCTCAGCCTGTCCTCGCAGCAGAGCTGCTCCAGCCCCTGGGTCAGCTTTGTGGCCTCGTCCCAACAGCTCCACGTCCCTCTTATGGTGGGGACACCAGAAATTGGACGCACCATTCAGGTTGGGCTCTCTTGCTGTCTCCGGGTTCAGCTGCACCAGTAAATCCATTCCACAGTCTATATTCCCAGCTGTGTCACACCAAAGCTGTACATACGATCTTAATCTTGGCCTTTTGGTTTTCCAGATTCTCCATTTTTCCCATTTTAATACTCTTTAATACTCTGTTGTGGAACCAAGATCAGTATAAAAGGAATAGTTACAGCAAGGATGCTCATTCCTCGCTTTAAGGCTAGTGTGTTTTATCGTGCTTACTTCTACAGCTCCATGACCAGCGCAGTATAGTTTGAGGAATGAAAAAACTTGGTGAAAAATGTCTGGGAGGGTTTTTACAAATCTGTTTCTTATGGTTCCTCTGTAGACTGAAATAAGTAAAGTTGTGATGCAAGTGTTTCTAGTATAGATGGATACGTATCATCCCATTTATCTCTTCCAGCGATACAGGGACAATACCTCCTGAAAGATGCTTATTTGGGATCATGTTAAATATTTCGGCTTTCTTGGGTGAGTATAGAAAGCTGCTTTTGGCAAAGCGCAGGCAGTTCTGGAACACACACTGTTGTAAACAATTGAATTTCCTTATTCAGATCATGAGCTGGCCTGTCATTCCCAGTAAAAACCTCCATTCTAGGCAATCAGTCTTAATTACCTTAAGCAACTCAGAGGAAAAGCACACGGCGGCGATGTTATCCACAAAGCCAGCATGACAACTGCAGATTCCAGAAGGCAAAAAACATGTTTAAAAAACTGCAGCAGGCAGTAAGACAAGCAGAAATGCATATTCAAGGCAGCGACCTTACGTGTGCTGCAGTTACAGAGAGAGGGAAAAACAACCTAGCGTGTCTTTCGGATGAAAGCGATCTGAAAAATCTAGTACGTGGACTGGTTTGCCATTATGTTATTTCAATTTTGACTTCCAGATTCTCAGCTTTCCTATTTCAGTGTACCATAAGACAGTATTTGTATTTTAAATAGTTGCTTCTGCCACTCTTTACCTTTAAAATAGTTGCCTCTGTTCTTCACTAACAGGTATGGCCACCATGTACATCCGTTACAAACAAGTTTACGCTTTGAGCCCAGAAAAACCCAAGATCATCAAGCTCAATAAGATTGGCCTTACCCTGGGACTGATGAGCTGTTTCGGACTTTGCATTATTGCAAATTTCCAGGTTTGTGCTTCGCTTGCAATGTCCTGAAGCTGCCCAGAGCTCTGCGCGGGTTTGTTTGCTGAGATATCTGATCAAACAAGGAGGGGGTTTACTCAAAGCAAAACTTTTAAGGACAAACCTGGTCAAATTTCCTACAGGAAACCATTACAAAAACACGCTTCAGTTTAGAATTTCTTACTCGTTTGCTTTATCCACTGGGACTTGTGAGCAGCCGCTCATGACATTCCAAAACACTCAAAACCCCACACATTCAGCAGAAAGCAAACTCAGCTTGGATCTCCTTACAGGAGATTTGAAAGCCGTAGCTCCAGATTAAAAGACCACAACTATATTGTATTTTGACTCAGGAGAAGCAAATATCAAAGAGTCAAAAATTCTTACAACTCGAAGCACAACCGACAAAAACACCCACTGCCACAGAGAGTCCAGCTCTGAAAAATCTGCCCTTTTAGGTTTATTTTCCTTCGAACCTGCACAATTCTTGAAAATACTGCACTGTTAACCAGCTTTCACATTTCTCCATCGCAGTGTCTATTTTTTTTTCCTCCTCCATACTTCCCACCCTCTCAAAAAAAAACACCAAAAAGTGATAATCTCGTGTATCGCACCGTCAGCAGGGCCACATTCCACACCAGTGGCTGTTACGTGCCAGCACATCATGCAGCCCCTGTCTTAGAAACCTCATTTGTGTTTTTTTGTTTGGGGTTTTTTTTTTTGGAGACCGCTTTTTTTTTTTTTTTTGAGAGGCCTAACTACACCCAGAGGTCACAGCCTCCCCTACTTTGCCCACCAAACACCTCAGGCTGTGTCCAACTCCAGGATTTCCTTCCACCACTGGCCAAGAGAGGGGTATGCCTACTTCCTGTAGATTTCAAGATACTATTTAGAAAGCACACGTTAATTTGTTAACTAGTTGGTGTAACATTTAATCCTGAGCAAGACAAAAAAGCAGAAGCGCTGTGCCAGCGTACCCAAGTGGTGCTGAGGAGTGCTTGAGGGCAAAAGGAGCTAAAGGGATTCCAAAACGAATCCACCAGTGACTGGTGTGTGAAAATACACGAAGATGAGCAGAGGGGACACAGGAACAGCTGTTGTGCCGGGAGACAAAGGAAGAGCACGGGGCTCATTCAGGGGAGATTTAATTGATGCTGTTGAGCCAGTGCTGTTGCTTTATTCCAGCTGTGGCGACTGATTTCCCCTCTTACAGGGCAAATATTTTTCTCTGAGGAAACCCCATCATGGAACAGCACATGATTTTTGGAGCTTGGTTATTCACTATTTAAAGAGTGATTCCTACCTCTTATGCTGTGGATGCAGCACTTCAGAATCAGTTGGGCACATGGAGGCTGTGAGGAACGGGCGACTCTGATTCCTGATCTTAGTAGTTACTCAGTAAAAGACACGGACTCAGAAATCCCCTGCGCAGAGGGAGTGCGGGGAGGCTGCACTGCACAGCTGGCAAGACGGTGCTTTTCGGTTTGGTGCTGCGCTTAGCCAGGGGTGAGAGGAAAGGACTGAACACAACGTGATTTTTCCAGGCATAAATTTTAAGTTGGGTTGTTTTTCTTGGAGCAACTTCTGGTTTTAATGATTTTTACTCTTTGGCAGTTGATTCTCCTATAGCATTTTAAGTTAAGAAGCATTACTGCTTGATTCAACCTTGTTCCCTCCAAGTATTCAAGATACTAGTTTATTCAAACTACAGTAATTCAGAGAATGGCTAAACCTCGTTATTTTTGACCCCATTTGGGTTACTTGAACCACACCATGTTTATCCTTTACTGTGTTACCTGTCATAGACGTCAGGTTCCTGGGACAGAAATGCTCAGGAAGCAGCCTGTCGTCCCTCCTTACCTGCCTAAGTGCAGGGATTCCTTCACCCAGTTTCAGTGTTTCTGTCCCTGCTGGCTGATGAGAACAGCTCTTACTGATTTTTGTAGTTAAGATACAGCTGGGACCTCTAACTTAGCCCCAGGAACTCACCAAAAACAGCAGGACAGAGCGCTGGCAAGTGCCACCTTCCAGCTAACTCTGTACGAGGCTGCCAGGATAAACCTCCTGAGCACTTTGTTCAACTGCTTAACTTGGGATCTGAGACCATAATTGGGTGGAGGGAGTGCCAGAGGGTTACTGAGAATTGTTCTCTGAGCTTAACATGATCTGTACAGGCGGTGCTTTCCTTCCCCAGAAATGTATTCTGTACTACGTACACGTGGTGGGAGCCTGCCTGACGTTCGGCGTCGGGGCCATTTATATGCTGGTTCAGACCGTCCTGTCCTACCTGATGCAGCCAGAAATTCACAGCAAAGACATCTTCTGGATCCGTCTGACCGCGTTGCTCTGGTGCTGTTCGAGCATCGTGAGCAGTATCCTTTGGCTGCGCAGCGGCGCCTGCACAAATGACACCGTTAATTTAACCTACCGACGGGAAAGGCCGTGCCGTGGGATGCCTCTCACCTTCAGCTGGGGTCGGGCCATCCATCCGTAGCCTGTACTGAATTTTAGGAACAAGGGAAGCATCAAGTTAAGCCCCCAAGAGAATCACTGGGTAATTAAAAAAATAAAAAATAGGGAAGAGGGACAGTTCCCACCCTTTCTCCTTCCCTTTCCTTCTGCACAGCGGAGACGGAAAACAGCAAAGGAAGAGTTTATCACAAAGAGGTCTGACTGCAGATTACGAAAGGGAAGCTTTCATGGTGGTTTTAATGGGGGGAAAGAAGCCAGGTAAGAAATAAAAGTGCCTGTTGCCTGGTGAGAGGAGAGCTGCAGGAGGGTTTATAGCTGGATACAACTAAAAGAGAGGAACAGGACATAGCATAAGAGAAAATACTACTAACCCAACCACGACAGATGGCTCCCAGAGCAGGTTTGAGGTGCTCGCATTTGTCAGAGAGACAATTCTGGAGCGAATCCCCAAGCCTGAGTCAGAAGAGACATTTGACCTCTGATCTCTTCCCCTGGCCCATCCTACAGTTCAGAAGACAAGACATTTCTGAGCAGCATTCCCTCAGCTCTGGAATCCATCATCTCCCTTAACTTGGAATTCCGAGTGCTGGAAATAGCTGCAGGTGTAACAGAAATATGGGCAAACCCCTCCAGAAAGAGAAACCTTTTTCCTGTCTGCAGTCATGTAACAGGCAAGGAACTGAACTGCAACAGTTCCTCCTGCTCAGCCCGATGCACCTCATGAAAATTAGGTCTCAGTTTTGTGTCAGACAGGGCTACAACACTAAAGCTTTCCAAGTTACGTTCCAAAGACACGAGTGCAGAAATAATTGCTTGAACGCTGTCCCATCAGCAGCTGATTTAATCCCCACCAATTCCACTTATTTCCAGGCAAAAGCCCCTTTTCCCAGTGATGGAGCATCGCGCTGAGCTCCCTTTCCTGCTACTGCAAGATGAGACCATCTGTACTAGCGAGCTGAGAAGCCATAGGTAGGGCACAGGTTGTCTGTAAAAGAACCAAGAAGGACCTTTACCTGCTCAAGAGCCTTGATGCAGAGCAAGGAAATCAGCTCCAAGACTTAGAGACTTGCCATCCCTAGCAGAGTTTTTTTTAGCGCTAGCAAAGAAGATTTTCAGCCTTGAAGTTTGGAGCCAAAGAGAATTGGGGAAGACTAAAATGGAATTACGCCGTCTGCTGCAAGCTAAGAGCTTTTTACAGATGCCAAAACCCCACAAACCTCAAATCCGTAGAGGTTTTCAAACTAGCGCGGTCTGACCAAAATTAGAGGGAAGTAAAGCTGTGGGAATAATGATCTATACATACACATGTATGGAAGGGGGAGAAAAGGGCAATTGTCAGAGTATTTTCTAAATTAACAGCTCATAATGTAATATGGGAGGGATGGTAACAGGGAGAAAACTGTGGCTGCAGGAGAGATGGTTGTAGCTGGTACCAGAGGACAGAAAAAACATGTTTTGTATCAGAAATCGTGGGGCCAGGAGGCCCAGGGCAGGGATTGTCCCCCTGGACTTGCACCATGAACCCCATGTTCAGGTTTGGGCCCCTCAAGACAAGAAAGGCATCGAGGGGATGGAGCGGGGCCAGAGAGGGGCAACAAAGCTGGGGAAGGGTCTGGAGAAGGAGTGTGATGGGAGCGGCTGAGGGATGTGGGGCTGGTCAGCCTGGGGAAAAGGAGGTCGAGGGGAGACCTCATCGCTCTCTGCAACTGCCTGAAGGGAGGGGGTAGCGAGGAGGGGTCGGTCTCTTCTCCTAGGTAAGAAGTGATAGGACAAGAGGAAATGGCCTTGGGTTGCTCCAGGGGAGGTTTAGGAAAAAATTTCTTCACTGAAAGGGTTGTCAAGCCCTGGAAGAGGCTGCCCGGGGAAGCGGTGGAGTCCCCATCCGTGGAGGGATTTCCAAACGTGGTGCTCAGGGGTCAGTGGTGGGTGTGGCAGCGCTGGCTGAATGGTTGGAATCAATGATCTCAAAGGTCTTCTCCAACCTAAATGATTCTGTGGATCTGTAAAAACACTCTGGATCCTCTGCTAGAGTGAAAGAGCACAATTGCCAACACGTAAAGAGCAAAGCAGTTAATTGCCTGTTCTGTAGCGAGGCGAGGATCGGAGCCAGTTATTTTTGTATCACAATAATTAAATCCTTTCCGTTGCAGTAGGAACAGGCAGGTAACTAACAGCTACTAAAGCCGCGCATTTTAATTAGCAGAGAATCAGGTATCTTGTATTCAGATCAGTAACCAGAGCTCCCCACAGCCCTCGCATCAATTTTCTAAATAAGCTTTGTAAGCCTGCCTTTCCAAAGACACGTTTGTGCCAGTAAATTCTGCCTTGTTCGGCACCAGAATTAATCTTTCACATCAGGAGGCTCTTCATGTTTAATCTCGTTAACGACTGAAGGATTTAATATCTTAATCCTATGAAAATCAGATCCCCTATAACTGAAACTTGGAGCATTAAGATAAAAAGGCAGCAGGGCCGACAGAGCGTACCTTCCCTCTGTAAGCCGCTGAAAAAAAGAGGCTTCTTGGTCACTCTAGAAAGAGCCCAAGTCTCTGATCAGGTGAGGAATAATTGTCACGTGGTTTGTTTTTCTTTTTTTTTTTACCTTGACTGCAGTACTAAAGCAGTTCTCAAGCCCTGAGCGAGCTAAGAGGGAGACAGAAAAGCCAATAACCCTCTTTGCTGCCAATATGACAGTGTTCCAAGCTGTAACCCACATATCGAGAAGTCAAGGTGGTTGAGAATCATAGAACAATTCAGGTTGGAAAAGACCCTCGGGATCATCAAGTCCAACCATTGACTCTACACTACAAGGTCACCCCTAAACCATCTCCCCCAACACCCCATCTAAGCGACACTTGAACACATCCAGGGATGGCGACTTAACCCCCTCCCCGGGCAGTCTGTTCCAGTGTCTGACCACTCTTTCTGTGAAGAATTTCTTCCTAATGTCCAGCCTAAACCTGCCCTGTTGCAACTTGCAACCATTCCCCCTCGTTCTGTCCCTAATTCCCTGTGAGAAGAGACCAGCACCAACCTCTCTACAATGTCCTTTCAAGTAACTGTAGAGCATGATGAGATCCCCCCTCAGCCTCCTCTTGGTCAAACTGAACAGGCCCAGCTCCCTCAATCGCTCCTCACAAGGTCTGTTCTCCAGCCCTTCACCAGCTTTGTTGCCCTCCTCTGCACTTGCTCCAACACCTCGAGATCTCTCCTGTACTGAGGTGCCCAAACCTGAACACAACACTCAAGGTGCGGCCTCACCAGTGCTGAGCACAGAGGGACAATCACCTCCCTCCTCCTGCTGGTCACAACATTTCCAATACAAGCCAGGAGGCTGTTGGCCTTCTTGGCCACCTGGGCACACCGCTGGCTCATCTTCAGCCACTGATAGAACACCCAGGTCCTTTTCCACCAGAGAGACTTCCAGCCACCCTTCCCCAGAAAGAAGTTGAAAAGCGATCAGAGAAAGAGGTCTAGACACTGCTACCTTGGAAAATACCACGAAAAAAGTACAAATGCTCCGTATTCACATTTGATCGAGGTTTAAATGCTTTCATAAGGACACTGCGTTTGATCAAGGAGGTTTAACAATATGCAGCCTGTCGAGAACAAAGATAAAGAATTTCAATTCAAATTAACCTTTTCACTTTAGCACAACAACCCACAAGTTGCAGGGAGCGATGTGAAGCAGCCCAGGTCACCGCTGCTCTTCGTTCTGCTGAGGAGATGTCGTGGAGAACACACAGAGATCTCCTCACGGCCTCGGCTTGATACAACCCAGAGCTGGGGCTTTAACGAGTTGCTCATTCTTGGTCTGGAATCTTCCTTAACGTATTTCTTTGCAGTGTTTGTTTCCTCAGTGGTGTTATACAGTGGCCTGTATGGAACTAATCTAGTGCAAAAGTTGCACTGGGACCCACAGGAAAAAGTAAGTGATTGAGCGGAGGAAATAAACAGGTGGAGTCAGGAGGAGAAAAAAGCTGAAGGAGACAAGGGATGGAGCTGCCGGCAGAGAGCGAAGTGTTGGGCACCAAGGGCAAGTGGGGCAGGAAAAGGGCACATAGAGGCAGCTCTTGCCTGTCTCCCCGGCCCTCCTCATCCTCTCCAGGCGCTGCTGGAGAGAAGGAATATTCCGCAGGCTGGTTTTGAGGGCTTTTCCCACCCCTCCCTTTATTTAAAGCATAAGGAGCCTCTCGGAAGCCGGCTTACACCCAAAGGAGGGCCTCGACCCGTACGCTTGGGAAGCGATTCTGCTGTTGGTCCTGCCAGGCTCTTGCCTGAGCTTCAGATTTTGTAGGTGGATGTTAAATTCCCAGTGGGGTCATCCCAGGTGGGTGGAGCAGGTGTTTTCCCCCTCATCCTCGCTCTTTGGCCGATTTGAGTCCTTCATTCTTTGAGACTCCAGACACGCCAAGAAATTGTGCTCTCCGGAGGGAATAGCTGAGGATGCAGGATGTCGTGGGGCCAAGCCACCATTGCAGGTTCAGGAGGAGCTTTTCATGCCGATTTCCTTTTCCTACCCTCTCCTTATTACGCAGGGGTACACAGCTCACATCATCAGCACCGTCTCAGAGTGGTCATTGGCATTCTCCTTCCTCAGCTTTTTCCTCACCTACATCCGTGACTTTCAGGTAAAATGAAGTGCTTCTCCGAGCTCTAAAGAATCTGCCGCGGTGTGAGGTGGGCTCTTACCAGCCATCGAGGCTGGGAGAGCGTTGAGCAGCCCTCAGCACTCCGTGAACACATCCAGGGATGGCGACTCAACCACCTCCCCAGGCAGTCTATTCCAGTTTCTGATCACTCTTTCTGTGAAGAATTTCTTCCTAATGTCCAGCCTAAACTTGTAACTGGATACCATTCCCCCTGGTTCTGTCCCTAATTCCCTGTGAGAAGAGACCAGCACCAACCTCTCTGCAATGTCCTTTCAAGTAACTGTAGAGCATGATGAGATCCCCCCTCAGCCTCCTCTTGGTCAAACTGAACAGACCCAGCTCCCTCAATCGCTCCTCATAAGGAGCATCTACCCCAGCATCTACCCCAGCATCAGTGTAACTTTAATCCAGCTCGCTCGTGAGATCCATCACAGGAGCCAGGCCTAGAGTTCTGGAGCTCAATCTGCATTTTGGTGTTTCATCCAACTACTGAAATTGCCACGCCAAGCCAGCCACGAGCTGGCTAACTGGAGTTTCTCTTTCTTTTTTTCTTACACAGAAAATTTCCCTGCGCGCTGTTGTCAGCTGCCCCAGCCAAACCCTGTATAACGCGCCGCAGAGCTTTGTGACCGACGAGCAGGCACTGCTGATCGCAGGGAGCATCTAATGAAGGTGAAGACAACGCATTCTCAGCGTAACTCAGGAACTTAGTAGCGATAACAGTTGATATTTCGAAGCATTTATTTTATATATTAAAAAAAAATGAAGCGATTGTATTGCACTTGACGTAAAGGGCTTTGCCATTAACCCACACAGCAATGCAAATGGTATCAGTATTGTGAACAAGCCTGTAACATTTCCACACATGCCAGTGTCACGAAAGAATTAAATGAAGGTCATTAAAGACTGGAGTCTCCTCATCACTTTCACCACACCCAATCTTATCTCCCTCGGCCCCCTGCCCTCCCCTCCCCAGCATTCCTCAGGTTTTTGGCTGCACAGACCCACCGGCCTCATCCTTCCGCACCGGCAGCTCCAACCTCGGGGCCCTGCAGGCTGTGCCGGAGCAGAAGAACCCCAAAGCCACCTTCTCCTTGGAGCAGCCCACAGGGAAGATGCTCTAAATTTCTTCCCTCTCTCCTTCCCTCCCTCCTCCTGGCCGTTGTTTGAGCTGCTGGTTGATCCAAGAGCCCACACACAGAGCATCCTTACCGAACAACTCTGGGGAGAGTCAAGATTCCACAGTCCGGAGCCGCTCGCTCAAGGGGGAAGCGCTGACCCTTACCCGAGCACAGAGCAGGGGACACGTCCTTGCAGCCTCGATGTCCCCAGTCCTCCCGCAAGTCAATCTCCAACCCAAGAGGCACCTGCTCACTCCTCTTGCTGCTGCCCTGACACCATCATGGGCTGTTGACGGCCCTTAACCTGACCTTGCAGCTTGTCGGGCTGCTCCACGAAGCCTTCGGTGCCGGACACACGGGCTGGGTCACACTGAGTGTTTTGATAGGGACAACCTTCCGCGGTCACGTCCAGACCAAAACAGAAGCCTTAAAACTACGCATTTGCTCTAGTTCTACTAAAGTAAAGGGATGTTCAATTCCAGACAGACCTACACAACACATTCGAGCCCTGCTTAGCAGGAATAGTTCAACTTCTTTCCTAGACTTTTCCAGTCTACAGCTGCAGAAGCTCTAACGTATGTTTTCCCCCCCACACTGAAGCAACGTGTGCCGGCATCTTCTTTTCCCTGTAGGGGAAAGTAAAGGACCAGGAGAGGAACTGGAACTCCCAGCACCCTTTCTCCCAGGTTTAAAATAGGATTTCTGCATCACGGTTGTGCTTTATTTGCACTTGCAGCCTGGCTCAGCCCACAATTCAGACAATTCACGTGGTGAAAACAAGCTTTGGAACTAAAACCTTGCCAAACTACTTTAAACCAGTGGAGTAAGAGGACAGGCAGATAAAATTACAGGGAGTCACAGAAACCCCAAGAAGACTTCCCCCAAGTATGACATTTTAGCTGCTGATAAGCCCTTAGGGATAAGGGCCTGCCTGGAGACTTGCACACTTGGCTACACACTTTCTGATGAGGCAACATGTACACCCCAGTTTCTGAACTGCTACAACGCAGAAAACATGATGTTTCAGCTCACAGAAACCCCTTTTCTGTGTCTCCTTTAAGGCTCTTCAGGCAACTGGCCTAACCAGGAGGTTGTCACAGCAGTGACGCGCTGCCCTGGGATGGCAGAGCCCTGATCCCTGCTGGGAAGCGGGGAGGAGAGCGCCTTTCTGGTACAAACTGGGGAGAAACAAAGACGTCATTCACACACGCAGCTTCTCGGGAAGGCTCCAGCCTGCTCACAGGGCTTTTCTTTCCATCTCCTTGGTGTCCAGCTCCACTTTCCCTTCGCCCCTCTCGCCCACGGATCACCATGGAGCACAGAGAAGGTGTTCCTGACGAGCATCAGAGAAGCTGCCCCTGGGGGGCAATTCCTGCTCTAGAAAGCCCCACTGAGCGGCAGCACTCTGACGAGACAGACCAGCACAGGATCAATCAGGAGTCTGAGCTTTGGGAGGACTCAGAATTCTACCTAAGAGGGCACATGCCCAAGTCTGCAGTTAAAAACCCACAGCTCTCCCCTCGAAACCACCCTAACGCTCCCCCACCTGCTCAGCGCCATTTGTGGGGCTTCCTGCTCATTTCCAGATCCACAAAAATTCAACTTCAAGGCAACAAACTCTTCTCTATTTAACAACCTCCTCTATGGTAAGAAAACCCTCCTCACCCTCCTCTCTCACCCTTTCCCAAAGTGACAGGCTGAGCAGCACCCAGGAACAGCTCCAAACCCCTGATGGGCTGCTCCAGAGATACACCCTCCCCTTGCATCACTTCTTTCTCCTCCTCTCTGGTCCCACCAACACGGCAGGTTGCTATTGAGGGGGCTGCTCAGTCCCCTGAAAGGTGGGCCAGGTCCTACCTCTCCTCCTGAAGACTTCTGATGGCCAGTCCTCCCGCAGGAAGCCGGGTGCAATCAGGTTGTGCTGGCTGAGGAAAGTTGGAAAACTCAGGTAGTCAACCCAAGACTCTCAAGAGTCTGCTTCCCCAACTCCTGGAGAACTTTTAGCCTCCAGAGGGCATAAATACACCTCAATCGTCCTGACCAGCCTCACCTGGGACCTCCTCCCACACATTGTGCCTGCAGCCCAGGAGCTCCATTTGAGCCCAGGCTCAAGCACCCAGTCCTGGCCTGAGCTACGTTGCAGGTAGACACATCTTCAGTTCTGCCCTGACCTTATTCTGTGGCTGTACTTCAGACCTGGAGAGTACGTAGCTTTCCTCCAACCTCATCTCCTCCCTAGACCTCAAATGCGCAGTCAGTCCTGTCTCCGGTCTCTGCTCCTGATTGAAAATCTTGGACAGATCCAGAACCTTGTTCATCATGTCACCTTCTCTGGAGTTGTCCATTGACATTGTCATCCCCACCCTGCCTACCTGGCCCAGCTCCCTGGTTGGTGAGGGCACTGCCCGTGTCCTGGCGACACCCAGCTCGTCCTTCCTTGGGGAGCAGCCCCGCTCCTGCTGCTCCCTGACACAGCGAGATGTTTCAGTCAACTCCCGCTGAGCTCATGGGCACTCTCTTGTTAAGGAGTGGCTGCCTTCATACTTCTTGTCCTTGCCAGCTTCTGTGGATTTGCTCTTCCTCTTCCGTCTTCATGGTTTTCTTTTTTCAATCGTTATAAAATAATGGTCACAAACTGGAAAACAGGAGGTTCAATCTAAACACAAGGAAATACTTCCCTGTGCGGGTGCCGGAGCCCTGGCCCAGGCTGCCCAGAGAGGGTGTGGAGTCTCCTTGGGACCTACTCCCTTCATCATCCTCGTAGCTCTCCGTTGGACTCCGAGTCCAACGGAGAGCTACGAGGATGATGAAGGGATTTGAACCAGAGAGGGTGTGGAGTCTCCTGCTCTGGAGACTTTCCAACCTGCCTGGACGCGTTCCTGTGGGATCTACTCGAGGTGATCCTGCTCTGGCAGGGGGGTTGGACTAGATGCTCTCCAAAGGTCCCTTCCAACTCCAACCATTACTTAAAGAAAAATTATTAGCAAGTGAGGCCCTCACCAAATAAAAAATAAAAAAAAGGGTTAGCCCAAAGGGCAAAATCTGTGCAAGTTGCTGGAAATGCTTCCCCCCAGCCCCAAGACTGGGGAGGAGGGGAACAGCCACGGCTGCACTGGGTTGAGGAGGCCGTTAGATGTAGGAGAACCAGCCCTGGATTAACTGATCTGGCATCCAAATGAGCAGGTGACGCAAGGGACAAGAAGCGTGTTTTCAAATATCAGGAGGAAGTTGGCCAGAAGGTTTTTGAGATCAAGGTTTAAAATGAGTCTTCAAAGAAAAGTCTGCTAGAACAAAATTAAGATATCGGTATCCAGGACCATCACAGAAGAGCCCAGGAAGGCTCTGTCCTTCCATCAGAGGGAACCAACTGCCTGAAACTTAAGTGTGGGTGAGAAGTTCCAAAACAAACTCATGAACAGTAATGAGTTTATGAATGAATGGGATTATACTCTCACACCCAAAGAGAAACCCTAAATCACAGAATCATAGAATGGCCTAGGCTGGAAGGGACCTTAGAGATCATCTAGTCCAACCTCCCTGAGGACGAAAGAGCTGAAGTTCTCAGTGAGAATTGCTTTAGTTCTAGAGGACAGAAGTGGCAAATACAGAACCAGCTTTTTGAAGCGTTCCCATGATCTGTGGAGCCACAAGAGCAGCACATTCTTGTCCGTACCAACGAAAGAAATTATAATAAAACTAGAACGATGGGGTAGCAATGCTACTTTGTTGCTCTTTTTAACAACCAGGACAACTACAAATTATGAAATCGGCTTTTTAAAAGGAACTATTTAAAACTACTGGGTAGGACAATGCTGTGACATCACAGCAAGAAGACAGTAAATATCAACGGGAGATCTTACTGGAGATATTATTGGTTTTAATTAAGCCTCCCTCGTGGCCATAACCACAGGCAGGTACCAAGGGAGGGTCCACATGGTCTGGCCAGTAGGTCTCAGCTAAGACCCCCACACCAGGCAGCCTGTCCTGTGTCACTTGCTGTCACGTGGAGGATGACACCAGCCTCCAAATCCTCCTCGCAGCTCCTCATTTTGACAACTACTTACTGGCTTTTAAAGTACCTTTCCACACCCTTTAGGGGCTGTGTACAGATATTTTTGTCTGTCCATCCCTCTCCAGTTGTGTGAACCACTTGAATTTCCGTCCTTCCCCTCCTTATTAAGTAGGTTCATCCCTTGAATTAGAAGGTTGTGAAAATACAAAAGTGTATTCAATTCTTTTAGCCACCATATAAACATACTCAATAGTTGCTACGACAGAAAAGGTGGGTTTTTTTCCTAAATTTACAAATAGATTTAAATTTAATAAAAATTATGTGTGAAGGATGGAGACTCTGAGGGGGTAACTTACTAAAACAAAAATCCTGTAGACTCTTTGGATATAGAGTAAAAATATACCAGGCAAAAAAGGAAAGTGAGAATTCATTTCCATTATATATTGCTGTAATTCCTGTTCGGTCTCCATGTGTTGCCTGATCTAGTCGAGAGGTGGCGTCCCTGGTGGCAGGGAGGCTGGATTAAATGATCTCTAATGTCCCTTCCAGCTTAAGCCATTCTATGATTCTATGATTCTTATCCGGGCGTGTTGTGACTCCTGTCTTCCCACCATCTTCTCCTCAAAGCCTGAGTTTTCATTTTAATCACTTCCCTTTTTTTTTTTTTTCAGTCTGTCAATAGTTTCCTGAGCTGGAAGTCCTCCGTAGCCATGAACAGACGTGTTGGGATCTGGCCAACTTGCCAATCTCGGTGCCGTGCACCTCTGCCG